CTATAATAATTCACATACACCTTGAGCTATTGCCCTATACTCAGCTTCAACACTTGATCTAGACACAACCTTCTGTTTTTTTTTCCTCCAAGTAACCAGATTACCACCAACAAAGATGAAATAACCTGTAGTAGAACGTCTGTCACTATTATCTCGTGCCCAATCAGAATCAGTATAACCCTTAATATCCAAGTGACCATTCTTTGCAAACATGATCCCTTTCCTTGGAGCATTCTTCAAGTATCGTATAACTCGATTCACAGCATTCATATGTCTTTCATTGGGAGTATGCATAAATTGATTGATGACACTAACGGCATATGCTATATCAGGTCTGGTATGAGATAAATAAATTAATCTGCCCTCAAGTCGTTGATATCTCTCTTTGTTGGCTGGAACATCACTTGGGTTTTCACGAAGCTTATGATTCTCTTCAATTGGAGTTTNGATTCATATGACTTGGAAACTCTATGGGTTGACACGTGATTGCTAATGGGGTACTTTCCTTTACTATTTACATCTGCGTCATATTGGGTTTTTGGTTTACCACGATTTATGGGAGCTAGTAATTGATACTTTGGTGGTTCAGATTCGAGTTCAATGTCAGGTTTAGGTGTAGTGTTAAAAAATTACTGGTTTCACCAAAAGTTTCATCAGGTTCAGAAAGTACCTCATTTGTAGCCTCTGGAGTAGATTGAATGTGCTTTGGATAGAGAGGGGAACCATCAGTGGTACTATCAACAATATTTGGACATGTTGTCGAGCTATTTCCTTCTTTCAAACAGTTTTTGGTATCTAGAGTATCATGTCTCTGATCACTAGTTAGAAATGTAGTATCAATAAGCATATTATCATGGCTATTCTCTTCAAAAATACCATCCATCTCTCCCTGAAAAGGAGAGCCATCCGTAGAGAAGTAGGCCAAATCCTCATTAAATGTAACATCCATAGTGACATACATTTTTTGAGTAGGTGGGTGATAACAACAATATCGTTTCTGATGAGAACCATATCCTACAAAAACACATTTGATAGCCCGAGGTGATAATTTGCTACGTTGATGAGAGAATGTGGGCATATGCAACACACCCAAAGACTTTGGGAGGGAGATTAGAGACTGGGGGGCATATCTTGTATCTTTGCGGTGAGGATCTGAAGAGGAGTTTGGAACGCAAGAACACTGGAAGGGACTCGATTGATGACATACATAGCAGATAGCAAAGCATCACCCCACAAATATTTAGGAACATTCTTTTCAAGTAATAAAGCTCGAGTAACCTCTAGAAGTTGGCGATTACGTCGCTCGACAACACCATTCTGTTGTGGTGTATTATTAGTACATGATGTTTGATGGATGATGCCTTGTGACTGAAAGAAAACAACAAGCTCATTTGAGATATTCACCTCCATTGTCTGAATGTAGTACTTTGATAGTTGTGGAAAACTGGACCATGGTGCAAAATTGTTTAACAACTTTGTTCACTTCACTCTTGGGTTTCATTAGATAAATCCATGTAATCCAAGTACAATCATCAATGAAGGTAATAAACCATCGCATACCACAAGAAGTAAAATGTTGTGAGGGACCCCGTACATCCGAATGAATTAGAGTAAACGGCATTGATGCTTTATTATCAATTTTTGGAAATACTGCACGGTGGCTTTTAGCTAAGATACAAGTCTCACAAGTAGAACATTTAAATTCTTTATTACAAGAATCAAACAAGGTTGATAAAAGATGCTTCAAGTAGCCAAATGATGGATGTCCAAGATGTTGATGCCATAACCAAATCAATTTCTCATTCTCCAAGACATGCTTACTAGTCTGGTTTGCTGAAATATTTTCAGCAGTTTCCTGAAAGAACCACAAGTCCCCTCTCTTAAAATCACGTCCAATTTCCTCCTGAGTATGTAGGTCCTGAAAAATACAATGTTTTGGGAAAAAATGACAGGAATATGCAGTCATGAGTTTAGACACAGATAACAAATTAGTTTCTAAAGTGGGAACAAGGAGAACATTGGACAACTTGATGTTGGGTGTAAGCTGAATGGTTCCAATACCAGCAGCAAAGATTATCTGACCACTGGCAATTCTGACACAGTATTTTGAGTAATTTTTAGTGAAGGTAGTGAATTTCTTAGGGTTATTAGTCATATGATCCGTTGCTCCGGTGTCAATTATCCATGCATTATCACAAGCAGAAGTAGAAGTACATAGAGCATACGCAAAGTTACCCGTCTTGGCTTCATCTTCGTTTTCAATAGTTGGAGTGGTAGCAAGTGATGCTCTACTTCCTTGTTTTTTTGTAATAAGTTCATCTGCCCAATCAGGTCGACCATGAAGTTTCCTGCATTTGTCCACAGTATGATTTTTTACCATTACAATGAGTGCATTTACGTTCGTCTTTAGCCGAATTTGATCCACCAGATTTGAAGAAAGGTTTTGGAGACTCATATAAGCTGCCCTCCTTCCCTTTGCATGCAGCTAAGGCACTGCCACTTGTATTTTCCTCACTCCCCATAGTTTTTTTAAGCGAGTATCCTCCTCACAAATCATGGCATAAGTTTCTAGGACATCAGGAAGGGGATTAGAAGGAAGCACATGGGCACGAGCTCCATCAAGATGAGAATCTAATCCTGCCAAAAAGATATAAACATGAAAATTTGTGACAGATGCTAAGTGGGTGCAGAGGTCAATTTCATTCTTGATCTGAGGAGGGTTGATAGCATCAAGTTCCTGCCATATAGTTTGTAATTCTTCATAGTAACTTCAAGGGTACGACCTTCTTGTTTTATGTTGACAGATCTCCGTGTTAACTCATATACTCTAGAAGAATTATTACTTACAGTATAGGTCTTTTCTACAGCATTCAGATAACCGCTGCTGTAGGAAGACGATCAAAGAGAACTCTCACATGTTTCTCCATTGAATTGAGAAGCCATGTCTGAACAGTGCAATTTTCCTCCCAAGTTTCATAGGTTTCAACACTAATTTTCTCGGGTGCCTTCTTTGTACCAGTAATATAGCCAAGTTTCTTCTTGCTGGCAATGGACATGCGAGCAATTCGAGCCCAAGAATCATAGTTATTTCGACCAGTCAATTTTTCTGGTGCAATTTTGAAATTATCAGACGTATCACCAACAAGTTTTTGTAGAGAAAAAAAAAGTAGCAGCGGAAGTATTGACTTAGGACAGTGTAGTAGTGGAAATATTGTAGTTTATAATTCCAGAAGCTGTATATCAACTATGTCTGCTCTGATACCATGACAAACATAGCAGTATTGAAGCAGTTTTTTCATATATTCATCTCTTGGAGGCAGAAATATATAGGTACAAAGCCAAAATTTAGGAAACATATAAACTAATTGATCTAATTAAGTAATTACAGGAAAATACTAATTACAATATCAATTAGGCAATTCTACCAATCTTTCCTGTAAGTAACAAAATCATATGATACACTAAAATCTCCTATAATTATGCACGGATGAAATCCCACGGGCTTAAAAAATTGTGTGATTTAGGAACATGATTTTTGCACAAGCTTCCTCGTTTTTCCCAGTCCCTTAGACCTTGAGTATAATCCATTCTTGAAGATATATCAGGTTTGAATGTTACCAAGTTGAAAATAATTGTTTTCCTGTATTCCATAAATATGCTTTTAATGTACAGATGCTATACAGAATGTTCGTCAAAGAATCCCCCACTCTTTTTGATTGTTGACTTATTTATTTATATCAAATCTCCTGGTTCTTTTTCTGATCTGCAGTTCTACAATAAAACTGATTAAGTTAAACTCTATGGTATTGCAGATTCAATGTCTGTGTGGAATCTCCTTAGAGAGTTCTGCATCAGGAAGATGCACATGGCTGTTGTTCTTAATGAATATGGAGGAACTGTTGGAGTAAGTCATATCCTCAGTTTTATTTATTTCTCTGAAATTATACAATTTCTTGGTATGTGGTCGTTAATTTTTTTAAATTGAATTAGCTGCAGGATAATGTATTTGAATTATGCTTCTGATACCTTTGATATCTTCACTATGATTTATACTTTTAACAGATAGTCACCCTTGGAGACGTGGTTGAGGAAATTGTTGGTGATATTTTTGACGAAAATGATTCGAAAGTAAGGTTAATTAAATTTGATCTTTCATTTCATTTTGTCGTATTACTGATAGTAATTGTTACTCCATTGCTGATTTTGATTCCATTCATGTCCCTACTTATAAATTTTCAACATCCAGAACACCCTTCTATCTATAGCTGTAACATGGACACCGACCACAAAAGATCCTGTGTTTGACGGCTGATCACAAAAATGTTTGTATACAGCATCACTTTATGAAAGTGATATCTAATTATGATTAGGGATCTTAGAACTCCTGCTCCACCTATTGAACTTTTGAATCTCCATCGTCATGCACTCGTGTAAAAGAATTTTAGGAGATACTTTGGCCAGGCCCATAAGCACATTTTAAGTCTTAGTTAAGAGGCAAGGATTATCTGGTGTGACATATGGCGTTGTTTGAGAAACACTAAATGCCATCAATGTAAAGAAATGCCAACCAAGGTGTCGATACAGTCGACACTTTTCCTGGACTTTTTTTCATTGTACAGTATTTCACTGTGTACCATCATTGAGACTTGCTGAACAGGACTTGGGACATCTTTCATTTACCCCATTAGTATTGTTTTAACTTCTTTTGGAGAGTTGTCATCCTGCTTTGTGTGCATATGTTGAAACATGAAATTTCTTGAATGTACCCAGGTGCTATAGATAGTGCTTATAAGTTGTCGTCATACAGAATGGATGGATAATAAGTGGATAGTAAGTAGCGTGTCCTACGAAATGGGTGGATAAAAAGTATATTTGACCATCTTAAATATAATTTATGCTTTACCAAACGTGCTCATAATGTAAATGGTCTAGTTAGATTCATTATGTTAGTAATTCAAGTTTGTATTGGGAAATACTTGAGGAGCATTACGAGACAGAAGATTAGGTCAAGGATTCATTTTACACTTGAAAACCTGACTGGCCTTCAGACATTTTCCTCTTAATAGTTAACTTTTTGTTCTACTGCATGGCAGGAGGAAATCCAGAAGAAAACTGGCTATATTGTTATGAGTGCTGAGGGCATATATGATGTGGATGCTAATACATCAATTGACAGCTTTCTGAAGACCTTAATATTAAAATGCCCGAGGTATTCCATTTCACTCTTATTTTTGACGAGTTTGAATGTTTGTCCTGGGAGTTGAACCAATAAGACAACTGTATTCTCCGTGGGTCGATGCCTAGGAAGTTAATGGGTGCAGACTAATGGTTGGCAATTTGTTGACACTGGTTCAAATCCAGCTCAGCCCCATTGGATTGCAAGAATAACTTGTAAACTCCTTATTGATACACACTATCAATCACTAGTCAAAGCCTGCCTGCTTTAAGACATTCAAACTCTATGATCTATGTATTTTTGTGTTGATTTAATGTTGATAGATGACTTGAGTACGCGAGATTGTGTTGACGTCCTTCACATTGCACATATAATAGCATTCTTTGATATTGAAAATTCTGTGGACAATTAATTGACAGTTGCAAGTTGTGGAACACAATTATCTCTCAATGCTGCTGTTATTTTTCCTATACAGCAGAATAGCGTCTATGAATTTGAAATGAATTCTGTATTCTTTTCTGCTGTTGTTCTGTAGAAGTAGTTGTCTATAGCTAATGATTGCTGACAATTCCATTCAGGGCCATCAATATGAAACGGTGTCTGGTTTTGTATGTGAGGCATTTGGATATATCCCAAGGACGGGTGAAACCATAAAAGTGGTACTTGAAAGAGCAAATAGAGAAGATCATGGTGACTATAATGGGGTAGAATCTGAACGGCAAGACGAAAAAGAAAAGACAAATTTTTAAGCTGGAGGTATGCCTTTTATATATGCTACCTTTGCTGTAAGTTTCACACAACAGATGATGGTTTGCAATGCATGCTCTCTTGCTCTATTACGTAATAGGAATGTAAGCTGAGCCCTTTATAGTATCTTCTCCTGCTGTTTGATGTTTGCTCTTTGAACACTACTCGTACAACTTTTTCAGTTTTATTAAATTTTGAATTTGTCAATCAAGAATGAAAACCTTCTCGACTCACCGGGTGGATTTCTTCAAGTGTCAATTGAATGCAAGATTGAAACCTTATTTGGTGGCAATTGGTTCTTGATTTTGATATTGGATTATTTGCAATCAAAGCATGAATATTATAAATAGCAAGTGTTGTTGCTTCTCCTGCTTCTGACTTTATTGGGCAATTATACATGTAAAATCAACAAATATAATCTGCTCTATGAATCAAAACTTCATTTTTGCAACTACCTCGAACATTGAGATTGGTTGCCATTTCTTCATTTTTATAACAAATAATAATGTTTGTGGTGCAGATATTAGAAGGAAATGCCAGAAAGGTTAGCTCGGTTAGATTCAAACATATAAACCACGATGATGCAGCATCAGAGGTAACACACTTGGTTCCCAAAATCATGAAAAGGAAGTGGAGTAACACTGATTACTCGGATAGGGAAGAAATCAACGAGGTTCCATTTCAGGAGATTCAGATAAAGATGGCTACTCTAATAATTATGTAAACTCTGTACATGAAGACACTGTTGATCATTTAAGTAAACAGTAGTTGCATTACTCCATTATTTCCATCTTTACTGGAATGAAATGAAAGTAAAGAGAAATTTTGCATATTTAAAAAACGGAAATGCTGATCTACCAGGGTCATTTACCAAGCTTCCTACATGCTCCTCACACTGAGGTGGGCCCCACGTCTGATCATCATGCATTAAAAAATTGCAACAAAAATGGCTGACCCACCAACTGAGTCACAGCCTGTAAGAGCCCTATAAGGGTTGGCCCTGGAAGTGTAGCATCACTCTTTAAAAAATGCTATCATGTATACTCAGCTAGCATGTGAACTTTTTAGAGACACAGAAAGTTTTACAATCCATTTTATTTGGTCAAAAGTCAAGAGTTGAATTTTCAAAGTTGAAATCAAATGAGGACTTTAATGAAGTAAATTATTTTATTGGGGTTAGTTTACAAATTGAAAATATTTTGAGGGTCTAAGATGGATAAATTTTAAAGTTACGGATTTACTTTTCTAGTATTGAAAGGTAAGGGTTTAAGGAAGTGCATCCGAAATTAGAGGACTTTCTTTGCAAATTAGGTTAGTGGCCCATTTTAAAACCAATTAAAACCCAATTACCCATTTCATTTTTCACCCAATTACATACACACGAAGCTGGTAACGAGTTGGAGCAGAAACAGAGAAAAATCGGCAGAAAGAAGAAAGAAAAGGAAAAAAAGAAAAAGGAAAAAGGAGGGAAGAAAAGCTTGTTCCGTTGTTCAATTTCTTCATTTTTTATAAAGAGTTAAAGAAGTAAATGATTTGTAGTATAATTTATATTAAATTGTCTAAGGTTCTATATGGTTGGTTTAATTTTCAGATTTAAGGAAAGAGTATGATGTAAAACCGATATTTTTGATTTGTCAAAGATTTTATTTTTTTATATCAAGGTAAGTTATACCATTTATGGTGTACCCTAGGTTTTATAATTAGATTCTTGGGTAAAGATAATTTGGAAAAATGATAGTTTTCATGAAATAATCACATGAAAGGATGATTTTATAGAACAAGTTGTGTGTTAAATGGGAGGATTTATGGTTATTAGTTTTCATTAGATTGGAAAGTATGATTATTTTATGCTTGGGATGAAAGTAATTTTGATAAATTAAAAACAAGTGAAGGAATTAGTGAATAGAATTATCTCCAATTGATTAAAGAAAATTTGGGGAATTCATTCAAGTATCGAGAAATGGAGATTCAAGAGAAAATTTGAAAGTTGAGGAATTAAGTGGTAACTTTGCATTAGTTTAATTGTCATATTTTAATTTGAGTTATTAGAAAATTTGAAAGTTGTGGAATTAAGTGGTGACTTTGCATTAGTTTAATTGTCATATTTTAATTTGAGTTATTATACTATTATTTCAGGTAGTGAAGTGGAAGTTTGGAGATGCCCGTCAATTTAGCCAAGATTTTTATCCATAGAGCGGTGAGTGGAAAAACTTATTTTTCAGAAATAAGTATTCTTTAAATTTAAAGTTATTTATTTTATAAAGTTGACTCCATAACATGATTTTCAGAATAAAAAAGATTTTATTATCAATTGTTTTTAAAGTTAGATTCAGTTCGGTTAAATCATTTATCAGCATGTTATATTTGTATTACATATTTCAACATAGTCAAAGTATTTTTTAAAACCACCAGAGAGCACTCAGTTAATTTTACCCTAGTCTGTATTTGTGTTAATGTGTTTCCACAGTGTATGACCAGTCATGATGATTTTACCCGCTCTGCACTATTGTGAATGTGTTTCCATAGTGTAGACCAGATTATCAGAGGTCTTTGGGACCCTCTCTCGTACACACACAGGCTTTGGGCCGTGTACTAGGGTGATTAGCCTTTGGGGTAGCTCTGCATACGCATGACCAAATTATCAGATTATCATATTTGAATGGCCTTGCCTTGTACACTAAGATTACTCTGTACCTGAGTAAAGCTATTCATTGGGTACCTTTTTTGTATGATTTTCTAGTATTATACAGCCTATCAAATTATAGACTATAGAATTTAGTTTATTCAGGTTAAAGAATAAAGCTTTTCAGTGTGATTTTTCAGCATTATACAGTTTATTAGATTTTAGAAACAGAATTCAGCTTATGCAGTTTACAGAATAAAGATTTGTATGATTCCGGTATATTTTAGTTTTGATAGTATTATCAGATTTCAAATTACAATATTTATCTTATTCAATTTAAAGAATAAAGATTTTAATTTATAGTACTGTGAAAGGAAATTTTTACTAGATACCAGTTTTCAGAAATTTATTATAAAGGGAAAAGTATACTTATACAAAATATCCACTCACTAAGTTACAAACTCATATTTTGTCACCCTTTTTCTTAGCAGATAGTACCTGCGTTGAGCCACATTGGAGCTTGTCGATCTACGAGTTGAGCCACACAATGTCATTTCTTGTATGTCTCATCTTGTCAGTTAATACATCACATATTTTTGGAATTGATGCATCTTTTATCAGAAAATGTATTTATATCACGGGCTTATTGCATATTTCTTTATATGTTTTACAAATGGAGTTGTCTGAATGTAAAGGTATATAAATTTCTTTCAAATGCACTTATTTTGAATAGTTGGTATTTCGAGGGGTTGGTGTACCTTGTTTTATATTATATGCATAGATTTGAGAAAATTGATTTTTACTCAGATGATTTAGTCCATATTTTAAAGAAAATTCTGTCAAAATTCTTCTAAAAATATTTTTTTTAGTTAAGCAAGTCAAAGTTGCCTTGGTGGTGAGTCCGGCATTTAGCTGGTATTTACCATCGGCGCACGATACGTGTCGAGTCCATTAAGGTGATGCGGGACGGGTCGTGTCAAAAAGTGTCAGTCATCTTAGTTGGTCGGCCCATGCAACCAGTGTGCTTTTTCTTGGACTGCAAATTATAGAATAGGTGGGTTCTCGGGAAGATGTTCTCTGTTGCAGGATTACTCGCAATGCAAGAATGTTGTGAGAGGCATTGCAGATAGTGGCTGGCTTGTCATGGGATGCTGTAAGCGAAGTGAGGAACTCTCCCTTCTACTCATCCCCTTCTCTCTGCTTCTGCTGGAACTGCAATTGAAGAACAAGGATATTGTAGTTGAAGGAGAGAATGGCTGTCAGCTGCTCTGCCAATCATAACACAAGTAGTTGGCCAGATAGTTGGTAGACTCCTTTTTCATGGGCTTGTTAAATATTCTTAAATATTGGGTTGTCTTTTAGAGCTATTGATAAACAGTTTTATACTGCAGAATGATTTTACACGCTCAAAATGAGCACAGTTTTGACTACTGAAAACTAGCACAGTGGAATTGTCCATTTGAGCTGAAAAGTATTGTAAAGTGCATGTTGGTTATGCAGCATTAGAATGAAACTGGACTCGACTCTACGTATTAAACTTAGTGGCATGTTTCGTAAGGATAATTAAATAGTCCTAGATGATATTAATGAAAAAAAAAGAAGTTATATTCTTCTTCATTATACTATTTATTCACGTTTGGTACTATGAACACATGAAATAAGGTTCATCATATATATTGCATATGAAAGGAATGATGGCCAGAGAATCAAGATACGTGTCCCCATGAAGATGCTGTATTGAAAATGTTGTTAAGTTGTATCATGTCTCCTTCAATTCTGATTTACTTCGTAGTTTATTATGATTCTTGAACTCTGGATGGTGCTGACTTTGCAACAGTTGGACTTGTGATGCTTGATAATTCATCTCTAATTTTGATTTTCAGATAATTAAAGTTGACTTACTGTATTCGAATTTTAATAACATGTATTAGCGTTTTAATATATAAATAAGAGTTGACAAAGTAAATAAAAAAGGGCAACTTGAGGCTTACTAAATTATTTTGTATTATATTTTTAGTATGACAGTAATGAGGGTTTTAAGGGAGACGAATCCAATGTTGCGGGGTTAAGCTTGTACTTTCTTGATGAAATAAAAATAAAGTTAAAAATGGAAATAAAGGGGAATTTTTTTTGAGACACAGGATTAGCACAACTGGAATGTATTGATGCTGGCTTTGCCGATTGAAATCAGCGGGTCGCCTTGAGGAGCAGCTATCCTACGGTATGAATAATAAGTGAATATTAAATTGTATGGAAAGTTGTATGGCAAGTGAGACATTGCGTTTCCAGCATAAGTTAAAGAGTATAAGAGAAAGTTCATGACGTTCACCTGTTGGCTATTTAATCAATAATTTATTGTCCTTCTTGCTCAGACCTATAAAACGTGTGAATAAGAATTAAAAAGTATATTTGACGAACTTAAATTATATGTTAAACTTTGCTAATGTATCAAATACGACATGTTACGAATAAATTTGTTAAGCTTACAAGATGATGCTTTCGTATTTCACCTTAATTAACAATGGTTGTGTTTATACGTCAAAAACCTAAAATCAGACGAAATTACAAACCTCGATAGGAGTTCATACAAAAGATTAAGGTCAACTATAGTAGTAATAACAACAATAAAAATGACAACTAGAGCTCGATCTATACACGATTTTATTCATTGTATACCTTATAAATCTCATTTGATATATTTGCTTAGCAGATCATATAAATATGATGTACAATCTCCATTGTTCTTGATTGGAAGTGATTTTTGAAATCGCTTTTCCCTACACTCTTTTCATCTTGAAAATTATTGTTAAATGGAGATACTGTTGGGAATCTACTTATACATGCACAGCGAAAAATTAAAATTATTTCGATTCCCACCGAGGATCCCTTTGTATTTAGATAGAAATCGTGATAAAGATTGTACTTTTGAAAAATTCTGCAAATCTTTTGTTTTTCTTTTCGTTCCAGCAATTTTGATTCGCCACCCATAGCTGTCCAATTGTCCAACCTCCAACGGTGATCCACACAGAGAACAAGATTGTAGCTACTAAAGTTTTCTCCTCTTGTGCTAGCAAGAATAATTATGAGAAAAAACTATGTGAATTGAAAACCCTAGCCATATATTTATATAAGGCCAAACGGGTCTGGTAAGGTCTGGTCCAATATTTAATTAATCCATTTAATTAAATCCGATCCGTGAATTAATTAATCCAATTAATTAATTCGGGCCTATAAATAACCAAACCAGTTAATTAATTTATCCAATAATTGTTAAATTGATTAATTGACAAATTGCAATCTTCTAATTCTCTTTTGTGTGCGACCGATCAGGTTCCCGATCACGATACCTAACGACGTGAAATATTATTTTGATCTAATCGAAATTGATAAATTAAAACACCCTTTTAATTTATCACCAATTCACACTTGTCATCCCAAATTGACATTTAGCAATGTGTTAGGGCAATATATGTGATGGGGAATGTCATGTGGTATGACAAAATCAAACTAGTTCGTTTATTGTGAAACTATAATCCCTTCATCAATATGATCCGATCAATTACGAGATATGGAATTGTGTTAATCCCGAATATCGATCATATCTTTCACTCCACTATTAAGTCAATATAAGTCGAAAACTCATTTTTGACTTATGAGTACACCTTGGCCAAGGATTTCGTTATCGACTAAATTGAATGAAACGCAGATTATAATCTCCTACTATCTAAGAATGAAGAATCTTTTATTGGTCAATCACAACCTTTATACGATTCTTGACGTACTTGAACGATGTTGTATTAGCGACCATTTGTAGAGCAACATTCAACACTGCCAAAGTATGACTGTCCTCATATAAGGTACCATGACAACCTCAAGTCAAATGACCAATTCCACTACCGAACGTTAAAAATTAACTACTGATACTTAGATAGTTATCCATGTAGAATCTTTTGTTTTTCTTTTCGTTCCAGCAATTTTGATTCGCCACCCATAGCTGTCCAATTGTCCAACCTCCAACGGTGATCCACACAGAGAACAAGATTGTAGCTACTAAAGTTTTCTCCTCTTGTGCTAGCAAGAATAATTATGAGAAAAAACTATGTGAATTGAAAACCCTAGCCATATATTTATATAAGGCCAAACGGGTCTGGTAAGGTCTGGTCCAATATTTAATTAATCCATTTAATTAAATCCGATCCGTGAATTAATTAATCAAATTAATTAATTCGGGCCTATAAATAACCAAACCAGTTAATTAATTTATCCAATGATTGTTAAATTGATTAATTGACAAATTGCAATCTTCTAATTCTCTTTTGTGTGCGACCCATCAGGTTCCCGATCACGATACCTAACGATGTGAAATATTATTTTGATCTAATCGAAATTGATAAATTAAAACACCCTTTTAATTTATCACCAATTCACACTTGTCATCCCAAATTGACATTTAGCAATGTGTCAGGGCAATATATGTGACGGGGAATGTCATGTGGTATGACAAAATCAAACTAGTTCGTTTATTGTGAAACTATAATCCCTTCATCAATATGATCCGATCAATTACGAGATATGGAATTGTGTTAATCCCGAATATCGATCATATCATGCATAACATAGAGCTCCTTATTGCGACCACCATTATTAATCTAACTTCAATAGAGCTCAGCTCCCATTCCATTATTACCTCGGTGCAGGCTGACAGCTAAATATGCAGGTTAATTATTTCTTATATAAGTCGAAAACTCATTTTTGACTTATGAGTACACCTTGGCCAAGGATTTCGTTATCGACTAAATTGAATGAAACGCAGATCATAATCTCCTACTATCTAAGAATGACGAATCTTTTATTGGTCAATCACAACCTTTATACGATTCTTGACGTACCTGAACGATATTGTATTAGCGACCATTTGTAGAGCAACATTCAACACTGCCAAAGTATGACTGTCCTCATATAAGGTACCATGACAACCTCAAGTCAAATGACCAATTCCACTACCGAACGTTAAAAATTAACTACTGATACTTAAATAGTTATCCATGTGGAATCTTTCGGCGGGTCTCCAATATTTTGTTCTATAACAAAATATCCACGTGTTCATTTAAGTGTCAACACACTTTAACTTGTGAGATCAGCTACTTACTTCACAAGTAAGAAATGCCACACGTGTTGGTCTATCCGTAATAACGATATCCGTATCTCGTTATTACTTACGACCACGGAAGATTTAAGATTCAATCAGATGTAATTTGTATCTCACAATCACAACTCCTTGTGATTAACAAATTACGAAGATTTGAATCTACGGACTTTATTAATTATGTAATTGTCTATTAATTAAATAATAGATTTGCCATTAAATTGCATTAATTATATATTAAAAGTATTTATGTCCAAAGTTGATTGGACCTAGGGCATAATACTTACAGATACCCTAGTATCTTACATATTATAATTTGGTCAAACAGTTGGGGGCGAACGTTAACAAACGTGTTCCTGGATTCATAGTATTGATTAAGATTAGCAGGCTATCTGTCTAATACACGTAGAAGCAATATTTACTCTCATATCATGTGATTACATTCAAAGAAGTCCAAAATGAACATGCACTAATCTTCAGTCACAAATTAATCGGAATACTTAATATTGACTTACAGTTTAGAGTCATCGCCGCGTTGGATCTGTTCACATTGCAAGAAAATTCAGAAGCCACCGTAAGTTAGCTTCAAGAATGCTTGAGCCTTCGTTATAAATATGCATAACATAGAGCTCCTTATTGCGACCACCATTATTAATCTAACTTCAATAGAGCTCAGCTCCCATTCCATTATTACCTCGATGCAGGCTGACAGCTAAATATGCAGGTTAATTATTTCTATAGTTAATTAAGACGTGTTTTAGCTCCAATTTTGGTTTTAATATTTGAATTTTGCAGAGAATTACTATAAAGGTGCAATTTAAATGCAACAAATGCAGACCCACGGCCATGAAAATTGCTGCCGGGACTTCAGGTATATATTGAATCATTGTTGAAGAATCAATAGATTAAATTTCAGGGTTTAATAATATTTTCTCTTCTTTGCTAGTTTATATTCTTTATCTGGTATTCTCTTATGTTGTACCTCTGGTTCTTCGTCTAAATATATCAACGTGACGACAAACTAAGCTCAATATGTATTTAATTGCCGCAATTTTCTCCTTTATCTGAAATTGAGACCGGCTATACGAACACACACATATAGTATAGAATGTTCTAAATTTTGGTTGTGTTTTAGGTGTGGTTTCAGTGGCAATAGAAGGGGAGAAGAAAGACCAAGTGGTGGTGCTCGGAGAAGGAGTAGATGCAGCCGCCTTGACTAGCTTGTTGAGGAAGAAAGTCGGCCATGCCAGCCTAGAACTTGTGCATGATGTTTAATTAAACAAACTTGCGTATCAAGTAATCGAGAATTTTTATATATAGGGAAAATAATTGCTTTTATTTCATTCTCATTCTATCTCCGAAAATCTGTCATTGATGTCAATAAACACTTTCACCATCAAAATGTTTTCGATTGAAGTTTAGACGCCATGTATTCCCAAAATCAGTGAAAGTCATCGATGGAAACGACTCCCATCTAGAATATTGACAGTGTCCAAAATGGAAAACTTGAGTGTACGTTCAACATCACGGGTTCACTCTTGTTTACTAGATAGAAATTCAACTTGACTTCGTAAATTGTTACTACTTGATATGGTAAATTTATTGCAACAAGGGACTACGGACCTGTTTAATAGTGATTATGAGAATTGATTTTTTGACCGTTAGAAATAAAAGTGGGTTTCACCTATGAGTGAATAAGAAAAAAATGATGGCTGGAACAATGAAATAACGGTCAAAAAATTGCTACCAAACGGGGGCTATATCTTGAAGAATTTACATCTTCTTGCTTTTTCATTTAAACTGCAACTATATGTGTTTTAACCTCTTCTGTGGCACGAACATGGATGTAATCTTACTTTGAAGGTTCAGCCAGTTTCTTTGGTTGTTCTGCCACCTAAATTATGAACTACGAGCAAAATCGATAAATATGAATACAAGACAAATGAACGATAAAAATTTGCCAACGCCAAAATTCCGTTGATCATGCAACAGTTGAAGAGTGTGAAGCACACACAGATATTTACAAAAAAAGTTTTGAGGAATTTTACATTCGAAAATTTACTTGGGCATGACTTTTTCCGGATGTAAAATTTCGAATATTTTTTACTTCATAACCCCACGTAAAATTGCCTAATAAAATTATGTAAATTATATTGAGAAATTTGTCACTTAAAAATAATAAACATCAATGAAATAATTGAAAATTTTTAAAGAAGAGACGAGTTAGACCCTCCTTTTAAGATGCACTTTTAATTATTTTCGATATTCGTTTAGACCATTCGATATGTATATAATTTTGTTATTGAAACGAGCTTAGAGATGACGTAGGCAATTCATGGATTTGACTAGCGTATGATTGTTGAAATTTTTTTAAAGCTAGTATGTTATCGAAATTTTCGAGAATACTAGTTTGGAACAACCTAATTTAACAAAGCGTAAACTTTGCTACGATTGGCCTTTTTGTGCGCCGTTTACTACTTGAAAAACTAGACTATGAGCACTTCGAAAAGATGTTAAAAATACAATATTTGAACTTCGTTTTACATTCCATGACGTTCTCGAAAATTGGGGAAAAAAAACATAGAATTAATGGGGATAAAAAAAATTTTGCCCAAAGTTTGGGGTCACGTGACCCCATCCTACCCCTTGAGTCTGTGTAATAATGCTGGACATGTGAGAAGCATGTATAACAGCAATATAAAGGGTGTCAAAAGTATGTCGTATCGCTTGATCCGTGTTAAACACGAATCAAGGCTATTCTCCTCTTATCTTTTCAGAAGAAACTAATTTGCTAGCAGATTCACTTATCTTTCCAAATTAATTTGTCAACCTAAAACTCGAAATTCGTCTTCTTATTTTGACAATAAACGTTCCATTGTATGGCTGAGGATTATTGTCACATCAACTCATCTGTTTATGGGTTAGCTTTTGCAAATGATATTACATCGATTGCCGCCCAATTAAAAACAACAATCACGCTATTTGTACAATATTGTTTATTTTTTTTTTGCAATTTTGGTTGACAACACACATTTGACAACATCACATTTATCTATTTTTATTTTTAAAATATTTTTTAAATCAGTGGTCTAGAGTTTGACAACATCAATATTGTCGACAACAATTGTACACATAGCTTTATTTTAAAAACAAATGCATTATGCTGTAATAGATTTGATTGGGTTGGCAGTCCTTTTCCACCTAAAATTGCGGTGGATTGAGCTCCAAAAATTGTTACCAATTTGAAATGATTGAAACCAACCCCATCCATCATGTAGAAACAAGTGGTTCAATAATTGATATGCGTTTGCGTCTCTTTAAATTACGAATTTATTTTTGATAAAAAAAAAATTCGTAATAAATATTAAAGAAGACGTACATGTGACAGGTTTTAATTCTCGTGCTAAATTATATTTGAGTAATGCTATTCGAAATTGTTTACTGCGATTGTCACCCTAGATAGCGGTTTGTGATTTGATATATTAATATGGTAATTTTTTCTTGTCACATATATCAAATTATTAAATGTTACATGCGCGTCACGTAGGGCTATTGCGATGGAAGTGATTTTAAATAATATTATTTATAAAATGTGAATAATAAATAGATGGTCATTATGAAAGTTTGATTGAAATTATTTGATTTGAAGTTAACAAAAATGGAATCATTGGTTATTTACAAAAGAAAACAAGCTGGATCATAACTCATCCTCGATTGCTTTGATAATTTTTTTTTCTTCAAAATTAAATTGAATATGCAATCTCCAAGAAATTATTCTTTATTTTATTTTACGTATTTTGTTTCTAGCAACAGAACTATTAACTATTCTGAACAAAACTATGGAATTAAAATTTAATTATGCAACTAAAATGAATCGAACCAAAACTGTTCAAGCAAACCGCTTATAATCCGAACTAGGGCTAGACAAATCTCCTGAACCGAACCAACCGAATCGAACTGAATCGAACCCAACGGTTCTTGTCAAATTAAATACCCGAACGGGTATTTGAATTGAGAACCGACGGGTACGATTCGGTTCTCGGTTCTAGACCAAGAACCGAAAAATCGAATAAAAATCGAATATTTCTAATTTTTTTTTATATTGAGTAAATCAAATTATTTTAATTTTAATTTTTTCTAAAAAAATTAACAAATTAATAGTTTCTAAATCCAAATTTTTGGCCCAATAATTTGTTTCATTTCTAATTTTTTTAATTTTTGACCCAATTATCCATTTTATTGTTTCATTTCTCAGTCCAACAAGATCCAATTCACTAAATAACCATAAACACCAACACTAAAATGCATAACGTTGTCTCGACTCTCGTACTCACTCTCGCAGCTTCGCTAACATTCCAAAACCTATACAATCGTCAGCCGATGCAATGACCTCCGAATCTCCGATCGAAACTGTGACCTCCGTCGACCGAAACTTTGATTGTAGCGATCACTTGAATAAGATAGTCTACTTGTCTCTGACATTCCAAAATCATTGAATGTATAATTAGTTATATTTATATAATGTTGTTATAAATGTTAAAAAATTTAATTATAGTACAGAATCTAACGGAACCGAACCCGAACGATTCCATAATTATATTTGGACCCGATATTAAATATCCGAAAATTTTGATTCGATTCGAGTCTCTTTAGAACCGAACCGAACCGAACCGACTCCCGCCCACCCCTAATCCGAACAAAGTCACACAATCGAACGAACTAGCTAAACTCTACGAGTCTTGTTCAAATGATTCCCTATAAGATTGTCAATCCTACTTATGCCCACCTCTCGTACACGTGTGCGCACGAGAGAGGAAGTTAGGGTAATTATTTCTTCGATAAGTACTTATGCCTTATCTTTAGCAATTTTGCACCAAAGGGGCCCATCCACTAGGCATCATAAATTCATAATAGATAACTTTTCAGCTGTCAATTTATCACCCCGGGAAAGCCATAATAATGAAACTTGGCAAGAACAATTAGTATAGGAGAAACTTGACAGTTTCATTATGATGGTTCATTTACAGTGAACCTAAAACCAAGGAACATCGCATGTCATAAAGGGAGGTCCACAGGAAGGAAAATCGCATTCCAACTTTCAAGTTCAAGTGTATAAACTGTGACCACGTTTGAATTTACTAGAGTGACGAACCAAGGGAAAAAGCCGCAACTACTCAAAATTAGTTGGACAAAACTCGAATACCTGAGTCACCAAAAAAGAAAAAAGGGGGGGCCATACTGCTAACATTTCGAGCATCTATGCATTTTCAATGCATGTCTCGAACTTATTACCCATGTCCCATTTGACCCCCTCGACCAGCGCAAAATCAATCTAATAACTAATATAAGACTAAATATGATATTCTCAAAATATAAAATAGTACCAACTTAGAATGGGGTATTAGTATTACTATATTTAAGAAAGAGGGGGGGGGGGGGGGTGCA